ACTGTTCCCCCTGAGCTTGTCCCTTCTTCTCCTCTTACACCTCTGGTTGCTTCTCATTTTTCGGCTCATTCTCCCCTTCCGTTGTTAGTTTATTCTAGTCGCAAGGCTCCTCCTCCACCGATTGCTTCTGCCCTTGCTGCTACTCTCCCTGCTTCTGACGACTCTGATCCTACTGAACACGTTATCCTACTCGAGCGTGTCATCCTCCAAACAGGTTGGGTTGGTCTAATACCTATTTTTCTGTTTCCTATCGTACATTTTTGTTTGCTATTCATTCTTTTTCAGAACTTTAGTCTTATAAGGAGGCCTGTCAGGATCCTCATTGGGTTCAAGCTATGGAAGATGAGTTGTCTGCTCTACAGAAAACTAGTACTTGGGAGTTGGTTCCTTTGCCTACTGGTAAGAACCTGGTTGGTTGCAAATAGGTCTACAAAGTCAAGACTCATTCTGATGGTTCTCTTGAGCGTTACAAAACTCGTCTGGTTGCCAAAGGTTTCTCGCAGGAGTATGGTATTGATTATGATAAGACATTTGCTCCTATTGCCAAGATGATTATTGTCCGTACTTTGGTCTCTGTCGCTGCTATTTGTTCTTGGTCTCTTTATCAGATGGATGTTAAGAATGCGTTTTTTAATGGCCATTTCGCTGAGGAAGTTTACATGCGTCCTTCCCCTGGCCTTTACCATCCCTCTGGTTAGGTTTGTCGTCTTCTGCGTGCTCTATATGGTCTAAAGCAATCTCCTCGTGCTTGGTATGATCGATTTAAGACTGCTGTTACCGAGTTTGGGTTTCATCCTTCTGCTTCTAACTCTGCTTTATTTCTGAGACATATATCAGCTGGTTTTGTTGCTCTCTTACTCTATGTGGATGATATGATCATCACTGGCTCGGACTCTTCTGCTATCTCTGAGGTCAAGCAGCATCTCTTCCGCACCTTCGAAATGAAGGATCTGGGTCCATTACGGTATTTTCTTGGTATTGAAGCTGCTTCTTCTCCCAAGGGCTATTTTCTGTCTCAAGCTAAGTATGCTAATGAAGTCATTCATCGTGCTGGTCTTACTGATACTAAGGTTTCTGATACACCTATTGAGCTTAATGTGAAGCTTAACTCTACTGACGGTGTTCCTTTGGCTAATCCCACTTTATATTGTAAGCTTGTGGGTTGTTTAGTTTATTTGACTGTCACCTGCCCTGATCTTGCTTATGCTGTTTGCGAGGTTAGTCAGTTCGTTTCTGCTCCTCGCTCTACCCATTGGGCTGCTTTGGTTTGCATTCTTCGCTATCTCCGAGGTACTATCTTTCAGGGCTTATTGTTGTCCTCTACTTCCTCTTTGGACTTGGTAGCCTATGCTGACTCTGATTGGGCTGGAGATGTTACTGCTCGCAAGTCTATGTCTGGTTTCTGTATGTTTCTTGGAGATTCCTTGATCTCTTGAAAAAGTAAGAAACAATCAGTCGTTGCTCGCTCTACTGCCGAAGCTGAGTATCGTGCTATGACTCATGCCACTGCTGAGATTATTTGGCTTCATTGTCTCTTGTCTGATTTGGGTGTCTTTCAATCCTCCCCGACCGCTCTCTATTATGACAACCGCAGTGCTGTTCAGATTGCCCACAATGCTGTTTTTCATGAGCGGACGAAACATATTGAGATTGATTGTCACTTTGTTCGCCAGTATCTGCAGTCTGCCTCTATCTCGCTTCCTTTCATCTCTTCGGCTTTGCAACTTGCGGATTTCTTCACCAAGACTCACACTACAACCCGGTTTCAATTTCTTCTTAGCAAACTTTTAGTGTTTTCTGCTAAAACACCTTGAGTTTGAGCGGGGGTGTTAGAATATATGTTGTATTCTATTTTCTATTTTGCTGAATTAGAGGCGTGATTGTGTTAGAGTTAGAGGTGTGATTGTGTTAGAGTCCTAGTAGAGACATAATTGTATTTTCCTTTTTGGTTTAGGATTTAGGACTATATGATCTAAGGCCTGATTGTAATCATGGACACAATTGAATATACAGAAATACAGAAAATCTTACAACTATTATATAAGGGAGTAGCTTCCCTTCTGTCCATTATTTTGACTAGAGGTCCCATAGTGTATTGTAGGTTTGTTTTGGGTCTACCTTAATGATTTGGATTGTTTTCAATTTTTAGTACTTCTCAAGTATATTACTAATAAAAAATCAAACGGTTCAAATATTGATAATTATGTGTTTTGGTCATATTCTTCACATGAATAATTTTAAAAAAATATCTTTAATTTTGTTAAGGTAAATATGATCAAAATATGTGATTGTTAATATGCGATCAACTCAAGTTTTATACTTTGGATCGCCGATGTGGATTTAGAATGAATCCACAATACGTTAATTGGATTTACTAATCTAAATAATGGATTTGTTAGAAACCAATGCCTTACAAAAACAAACAATAAAAATCACAACCATCCAGTTCGTTTATTATCAAATCTTATTATTCTTAAATGAAACATATGAAATACGAGTGTTATCTTTTCATTAATTTCTCACTAAGTTATTATACATCTCACCTAACTTATATGTATTAATAATGGAGAAATAAGGCATATGCTCCTTTGAGCTCATTTTAACAATGTAAACTTATGTTTTAGACAAGGTTATTTGGGCTAATTTTAGGATCGTGAATACGAAAATCAAACAACACGTCTTGATCGAATGATTTAAGAAAATAGATGAGATTGACAATAGACCAATATAAATTGAGAAACAAACACAAAGTCATTTTCATTATATTTTCAATAATTTTATCATAATGCAACTCGATCCAACTCAATGGCTAATTTTTTTAACTATTTATGATTTTTTTTTTGGCTCTGAGTATTTATTTATTTATTTATTTTTTCTTCATATTTAAGTCCATCTCTATTTTTAGTTTTAAATACAGTACAAATTTTGTCAAATTTTAAAAAGAAATTTCATTATAAAAACAAGAAAAAAAAGAAAGACAAAGCTTTCGTTTAGTAAACACGTGTGTTTAGTTTGAGTTTTCTGAATTAAGTTTTTTGAAACGATAAAGATTGGTAGCTCGAGAAATGTGGCTCGAATAGACAAAACGACGTCGTTTTGTCTACTTTTTTTTTTCTTTCTTTCTTTTTCTTTTTCTTTTTCTTTTTCTTATTTTTTGAATCAGAAGACAGAAAAGAGAGAGAGAGAGGAGAAAAGAGGAAGAGAGAAAGAAGAGGAAGAGAGGAGAAGAAAAGAAAAGGAAGAGCCATCATCGGTGAGTCATCATTGGTGCCATCACCGGCGACTGTCATCACCGATCTGAAGATGATGATGTTGATCTGAAGAAGATGATGATGTTGATTTGGAGATGATGAGTATTTTTTTTTTTTTAGTTCTAGATCTGAATTTGTTTTTTGTATATTTATTTATTTTTTACTTGTTCTGTATCTAAAAAAAACAAAAAAAATTGTTGATGTTGTATATCTGAATCTGTTTTGATGATGTTGATGTTGTATATCTAAATATGTTTTCTGTAAATTTTAATATCTGAATCTATTTTAATATCTGTTTTGATGATTTTGGGTTTGAAAAACTTATTTCTTCTTTCTTGGAAATAAGCTTCAGTGGGTTTGAAAAACTTGTAGCAGCACTCTGCAATATGGGAAAGAAGATTTTATCATAAAATTAGCAAGTGCCTAATCTTCATCATATTTACAAGTTTTTCAGTGGGTTTGATGAAGAAAAAGCTATTTTTGATTTGGGTTTTTCTGAACAAATTTTTGTGTTGATTATGGAACAAATTTTTTCTGAACAATTTTTTGTGATGATGTTTAATCTAGATTTCTCTGGAACATCATCAAGAACAAATTGCTTGAACACCATCATCTGGGTTGCTCCTTCTCTTCTTTTTCTTTAGCTTTCTTCTTCTTCTTCAGTTCAGAAAAACGCAGAAAAAAAAAGAAGACACCAAAACGACATCGTTTTGGTGTCGAGCTAAATTCGGGCCACCAAATTTCGAGCTACGTAGCGGGGTCGTTTTTGAAAATTGACTTTTTTGATTTTCGTGTTTTTTTGTTTTTAGTAAATATTTTTTAAATTTTAAACATTTTTTTTACTTTTTTAGATGCACCTTATTTAGATGTATCTAAAAAGTAAAAAATTTATGAAAAAATATTTAAAAAAATCAATAAATACATAAAAATATAAAAATTGTATTGAATTCTTGTATTTTTTTTTTGTATTTTTGGTATTTAGTGAATTTTTAAAAGATTTTTTTTACAATTTTTTTACTTTTCAAGTGTATTTATGTTAGGTGTGTCTAAAAAGTAAAAATATTGTTTAAAATATTAAAAAAATTCAGTAAAAATAAAAATCATGAAAAATAAGAAAGTAGAATTTTCTAAAAAGTATTTTTTGAAAAGTGGAAACAAGCAAGGTTGAGACTATATAAGCACATAAGGACAAAAAAAGGGCACAAAATCACAAAATGACAACACACTTGATTTTTGATGTAAAATTACCAAATTGACCCATATACAAAAAAAAAAGTAAAAAAAACATCATTTCCAAGCGGAGGACATATTTGTCATTCTAATGTAAAAAAAAGTCAAAAAAGCCAAACAAACAAATAAAGAGTTATGCTAGGGATCCCAAACAAATTACCAAATTTTCTACCAAATCTCCCACATGAGTGTGGGACCCACACACATTTGATTTGTGTGGATCCCACACCCATGTGAGAAGTTTGATAGAAAATTTGGTAATTTATTTGGAGTCCATAGCATTTTTTAAAAATAAAATGAACAATAAAATCCAAGACTAAAAAAAAGTCAAAAAGTCAAGTTTAACAAACGACAACTATTTTTTTTTTGGAAAATGCATTGAGGTCCCTTCTGATTGGCCTAAAAACTGTTTTTTTTGTTTTTTTTTGAGTTTTCAGCCATTGGCAGCGCTCCACGCGGGGGTCTCCAGCATTGCCCTTTTTTTTTTCTGTCTTCAATTGCGTCGTGCATTCGTGAACCCAACAAAAACCCAGAACCCTCTTCCCAAACAAACAAGGACTAAAATAACCTATTATAATAATAGCAACTTCCCAAACGAAGCCATAGGTGCTAGGAATTGAGCGTAACCCTGACGGTAAAGGAACAACGATGAAGAAGAATATCCCTCTGCTTCTGATGGGTTGTGGAGGTGTTGGATGTCAACTCCTCCAACACATTGTTTCCTGCAGATCTCTTCATTCCAAATTGGTATCTTCATCATCAACAATTTTTGAAATTTGGGTTCACTTGTACTTATTCATCTAATTTATCTATTTACTGTGCATATACATGTTTTTGAAATGCCATTACTGTGTATTTCAAAAGAAATACACATTGTTTGTTTGTTTTTGGGCAAACCCAAAAGGGTATTATTATATTGTTATTCTATTTATCTGCAATAATCATCATCATTGCTTTATGACTACTCTACTGTCTGATAAGAATCTAGTTTTTTCTATGAAATCGTTAAAGATCACTATTTGGTATATGATCAATGAGGGAGGGCCTGTTTAGATGCAGGTTATCAATTCATGGTTTCGAATTTTAAAATTAAAATATCAGAAATGGAAGAGAAAGCACACTTGTTAAGTCAGTTTTGGTGAAGGAAATGAAAACAACAGTGGAGGTGGAAAAAATAAAAATAAAGAGAGAAGAAAACATACAAAAATAAACAAATTTAAGTGAAGTGAAGCTTTTAGAAACATAAAGAATTAACGTGTATGGCCGAGATATGTGATGTCCCCATTATGAATACCTATATCATTTAAATTTGTAAATTTGTCAACTAATAATGACTTCAATAAAGAAAAATGGGGGCACTTCCATAGTTGATTGTATGGGATTCATACTTTTAATCTAAATTGTGATGGTGGGCACTTCATTTGGTTTTGATCCCATGAACAATGAGAGTTTGGATTTGAGGAAGACAAAGGGCTATCCAATAACCACCAGATGTTAACCACATTCTTAATTTTTTTTTGTAAAAAGTGTGTTAGGTTCCGTTTTGTTCAAGTGAAATTATTTCAGCAGAAACTTCAACCTGTGAAGAGTATTAAGTTCAAATGTGATCGGGGCCGACCTAGAGGTAAGGCCACCAAGGAGGCCGCCTTGGGCCCCCAAATTCTGTGGAAAAATTAGGCCCCCCCGAATGATTTAGTTTGTATGTTAGGTTTGATTCATTGAAATGAAATTATCATTCTATCATAATGTTTATTTTCACGTTTGGTTTACTAAAAAAATGATGAAAAAATATTACAAATAGAATCATCATTGTGAGAGAATAGTCATTCTATAAGGAGGATGAAAAATTACCATTCCATTCTATTCAATTTGATTCCAATGAACCAAACATTATATTATTATATTAGTAGTTTAAAAATAAAGCTTCATTGATTTTTTAAAAAATAAAATAAAATAATGAAGTGGTGATTTATTTAATAGTTATGAATGGTTATTTGCTAAATGTATGGATTATTTAGAATATTGTCGAATATATCAGTTACATTTGCCTCTTAAGGAATAATTTTTTTAAGCTGAAGTTGATGAAATTTTTCATTCAATCAGTTACGTCATAAAAAAATTTAAATAAATCAGTAACATTACCCATAAAAAATGTGCAAAACCTATTTCAACTTGTAATTGTTGTGAAAAATAAATTATAATCGAATTATTCACTAACATAATATTTTCGAATTGGATTTATCACCTAATATTTAAATAATTTTTGTGCATAGCATAGGTAAAAAATTAATAATTTTAGTATTTATATATGCAAGCAAATTTTGTATTGTGGGTACCAAAAAAAAAAAAATTATGTATAAAGGCCCCATTTTTTAACTTTGCCTTAGGCCCCCATAAAGTTAGGACCGACCCTGAATGTGATATAATCTAACTGAAGAGTACATGATAGAATATCTCAAAGGTAAAAGGTCATTTAAATTATATAGAGCATTCAAGAATCTTATTTTTTATTTTGTTTCTCTGAAAAGTACTTTTTAAAGGGCAAGTTGGCAATCCAATGATGGCAACTGTCTTGGTTTACTATTTTTTTTTTTCTTGTTGTTGTTGTTGGTTTCCTTCCATTTTTATTTTATTTTCTTCTATTATTATTTTTTTCTTGGCTCGTTTTAGCATTGATATTACTTTTATTGTTGTCAATTATCATTGACAAAATTCCTTTTAGCATTGATTTTACTTTTGTTGTCATGACTGTATTGTCAATCACGGGCCTCTGAATTAGATGGAAGACTCTATGAGGTAATTCACGTAAAGGGTATAGATATCAAACACCCTGTGATTACTGTTGTTGGCACATAAATTTCAAACCAAATTTATGTTTAAATTTTAAATACAGTCAATGACACAGATTGAGCCTACGATAAGATTGTTGTAGGCAATCACTTCCCAAAATGATTAACTTGCTCCGTTGAAGTGTATAAATAAAACAACGTCGTATCTTAACGACGTTATTCAAGATGCTCAAATGACACGTGGAGCCTACGAAAGATGACACCTATAGAGCCTACAGCAAGGACACCACACAGGATGAAACCCCAAAGATCAATCCGGTTAATCAGATATACGATTAATCAGATAGCGCTATTATTCAAAATTTAAATGGCGCTATCATTCAATTTGAAATTCAAATATTATTCAATTTGAAATTCAAATTAAAGATGAAACATTTCTATCACCTGATGGCCCTCCATAAACATGAGGACCATCACACAAGACGGGGGATCAGAAAATCAGAAGTGAAAAGATCAGAGAGAGAGAGAGAGAGAAAGAAATTGAGAGCTAAACAAATCATTACAAGAAAGAAGAAGAGAAGCCTAAAGAACTCAAGAGCTTACGCTAATGGCGATGAATAGGTAAAGGGTTTCAAACCCAAACTGTATTTTGTATTCGAGGGTTCAAAACCCATAACAATCTCAATAAAATATTTCTTTTTTTAATTTGTCATTTGTTGTTTATTTTGTTCTTCATTAATTGGAGGTTTCATTTGTATAAAATGTGTAATTAACGATCTGAAATACAGATCGGAAATAAGAACCTGCTATTCAAATAATCAACACTGTTTAGTCAAAAAACTAAACAGTGGACATTTGTAACATAAAATTTTGAAATGTGTTGAAACACTTCATGTTTTAAAATTTGTGTCTACAAATTCTGGCACACCCAGTGGGACCTTATTTCTCCTCCTATCTTTTGAAGAACAAAAAAAATATATATATATAGTTGAAACTTACTGACGTATTCTTTTGTTATAGGAATGCTGAAGCAACTGTTAGGAGACAAACCTACACTCCAGTGGTTCCGAAATCACCAAGGTTGGAGATAACACCCATCACCCAAGGGGCTCCGGAGCGAATGCTCTTGGCTGTCCCAAAGGTAGAGCCAACGAAATCCTAGAAAGATGCACTTCTTTCCCCTGCCACCCAAGGGGCTCCGGAGCGAAAGCTCTTGGCTGTCCCGAAGGTAACTGGTGTGATGAAGAAAGTCACACTTCTCCAGAAAGCTGAAAGTTTGAGAAAGATTACTGAAGATTATGTGAAAGCGTCAAAGCAGTACGCAATTGTGAGGGCCACAGCCCGAACGAAGAACTTTCTAATTCAGGCAAAGGAGGCTAGTCAGTTTGCAACTACGACTTTTGTCGCAGCTTCAACGGGGGCAACAAAAATGTTGTGGCCCAACTACTCAAAAGGGTAGAAGACTCCATTAAAATGGTGGAGTCTGCCCAGAAGAAAGCTTCTGTTGAAAACATGGCCATCATTAGGGCCATTAGGAGGAGGGTAATGACCCAAACTCCTGTTGATGGAAAAAAGGCCCCTGTTATTGAAAAAACAGTTGCTGCCTACGAACCGATAGTTCTGTTCAGAGCACAAAATCGGTCAAACCAAATCTCAGTCAACTCTCAGGAGCCAAAGGAACACTCGTTGGCTCGACAAGGTTTGAATAAGGAACACTCGTTGGCTCGACAGGGTTCGAATGAGAAACACCCGTTGGCCCGACAGAATAAAGAACACCCGTTGGCTCGACAAGGTTCGAATAAGGAACACTTGTTGACCCAATGGGATTTGAATCAACATCAATTGACCCGCTCTAAAAATGTATGGACTGTTTTGAAAATTCATGAGGAATTTACAAAGGCACAAACGGTTCCTTCTATGCCCTTAGGGGCTCGACTTGATATGTCATCCGGTCTAGTTTCGAAAAGACAAAGGCGAAGAAGAAATAAGGCCTTAAAGAAACTGGAACTAAGAACAGTGGCAACAAATGTTATAGGAGCTATTGAAAGGGCTCTCTCGAAAAATGAACCCAAAAAACAAATTGAAAGTCCTGTCTTTGTTGGAAAATCTAAGGTGGAGGAGGGTAAGCAACCCTTGGGAAACATTTCTACTTTGGTTGAACTATCTATGGAGGGAATAAGAAAAGGGCCTGTAACAAGGTCCATAACCCGTCAGGTTCAAAACAAAGCATCGCAGTCAGATGCTTCAAATATGAGTAATGTTGTGGGGGTTGATAATCCTTTATACGAACAAGATGATTCTATCTCGTTTGTTTCAACGAATATTGGAAACAATGAATTGAAAGATATCAACAAAGTCGCAGTTATGATGACTGAGGTTGAGAAAGAAGGTGAAAATTCGCAGGTCCAACAAGACCAAGGTCTCAAGGAAAAAGTGGTGGCCCTACAAGAACAACTTGAGAGAAGAGAACGGGAAATGGCTGCTATGTTGGAGCAAATGCAACAGTTACAGGCCCAAATGACAGGACCAGGAAGTGCACCCAAACAAATGACACAACCTGTTGTGGGGACATCCGTAGGCATACAAAGCACACTAGCCCCAGGGGGCAATGATCCTTGTTACTCCGATCTAACCAGTGGTGGTATGAATCCATTGCTCATGGCCATGATTGATGATATGGTAAGGAGACAAGTAAAGAAAGTCAAAGAAAAAGATGATGAGAACTTTCGAATAATTACAAAACCTTACCCAGCATGGGTGGATGCTGTTCCATTCCCTTCTGGTTTTTCCCAACCAGATTTCAAAATGTTTGATGGAACAGGAGATCCAAGACAACATGTGGCTCATTTTCTTTCAAGGTGCGGGCCAATAGCCCAGAATGAGGCCCTGTGTCTGCAGCTATTTGTTCAATCCCTTGAAAGTTCTGCGTTTACTTGGTATGCTAACCTTCCTGA